TGTGTAAGAGTAGATTCAATATATATCGAGAGAGTGTATTGGATAATTTAGGAACATTGAATTGGCATTTTGTTCATCGATTCGTTGAATTTGTGAAATTAGGGTTTTTAATAATCAATTGGGGATTCAAGTTCTTAATGATTTCATTTCAATTCATTTCAATAGAATAATTCTAAAATTGCATATTTACATTTCAGTTGCGTATTTATTTCATTAGATTAGTGAAATTTTGAATTTAGGGTTTCCAATTTTGAAATTAGGATTTTCTTTGCAATTAGGGTTTCGAATTGGGGATTTCTCCCAAAATTAGGGTTTTCATATTTAAACCAAATTTTCATTCAATTAAATTCGGTTAAGGTCACATTAGTTTAATTAGAGCTAATTTAATTCTCGTGGGAACGATACTTGGACTTATAGTCCACTTTACTACTTGTTAACGAACCGTACACTTGCGGTGGGTTTTCAAATCGAGAAGAAATAATTTTGCGAACAGCCGCAGTGTGAGTATTCGATTTCTGAGACATGTAATTAGACTCCTTGTTAGCGCAATATATAGACAGCTCTTATTTCCTAACCTGTTGGGACACATCCCGCGATTTACCTCCTTCGCAAAGCTCTAGAGGTTGGACGGTGAGGAACCTCAATGTTAGAATTCAACTTTTTTTAGAAAAAAAACCATTGGGACAAGCCAATAAACAAAGCCAAATATGTACCACCCCTATTGGAGGATGGGCTGTTCCCAAAAGCAGGGCTGTAAATATTACCACCGTTCATAGTTCAATATACTTCTACACTTCTTTAGTATATTTTCTATCTAAAAACTTCCATCGACAAGATAGTCGAAAAAATTACGAAACCCCCATTTGGATCTTGAATGATTTTTCTTCGTACTTTCTCTTGAATTCTAAAGATGGTTGGGGTGGGGCACCCTCCAATCATCTCCATGGTAGATTCTACCGTCTACGATATAAAATTTTAGAGTTGCACTACACTTACAGAATTTTTGCTCACAGATGTTTTACAGAAAAGACATATTGGTGGGTAGGTGGTAGTTTTTTGGCATTTTATATCACACATGGGGCAGCGCACAATGAGGGTTTTGGCCAGATTCTGTGAACAAAAATTCTGTACATGCAAAATTTTATCATGGCCCCTTTTCTAAAAAAAAAAAAATTTTTTTCCCACAAAAAAAAAAAAAAAAAAAAAAAAAAAAAACCTGCACATTCATTTTGTCACCATGCTCTCGAAGAATTGACGACAGCATTGAGTGTCACAAAACTGAACATAACGTGGTTAATTCATAGCCCTGCTTCAATTTCAGCCAATTCTCTAACATTTCGTAAGCGCCTTCTTTGGACGACGAGCCCAATAAGATAAAAGATGAATGAGAGAGCAACGGCAGAGTAATCAAACACATCTATGACATTCCAACGACCTGCCAATGATCAATAAGGTCTAAATTAAGAACACAAAACATTTCCGCCACGGCGCTGCAATGCACAGAAATTTGTTGGTTGGGAAAACATTAACAGCAGAAGCAGAGAAGGAAGTGGTTGAATCAAAGTCTTCCCAAATTTTGCAAAATACAAGGGGAACTTTGACAAGTAAATTTGATACCCATTTAGTGAATGTTCATTATTTCCTCCATTTTATGCTAATATATCTTCATATATTGCTAGAAAACCAAAACTGTCAAAATTAGCTGTCTCAAACTTAAATTGAATCTTAAACAATCAAGTTAACCGTAGTAGTACCTATTCGGAGGAAATCGAAGGGACTGAAAGAATAAAGGATTCCCAGAAACAACTGCATACAGAAACAGTTAAAATTTGCATTAGCAATTGTGTTCATGCATCTAATATCTGAAACAAATTGGGCAAAATAAAAAACAATAATAGACGCCGCATCAAGGTACCAAAATGGTTAGGAAAAACATGACAAGTAACAAAAGTTTCCATGCGACGACATTGGTCCACAAGTTTCTAGCATTTATATGTATAATTATATAAATGCCCCAATTAAGGGCCAAGATGGCACATTTAAAAACAATGCATCCTTACGAACCATAACAGGATCTTGTAGATTCCATGCAGTAATGCTAGTCTCCTACATGTCCCATTAAATACAGCAGCTCACAGAAATTTTTAAATAGCCTACAAGATGTTCTGTCAAAGGTCATGTATTTATCCAAGGCACTTGATCATGTGCTTTATGGTTATATTCATAATTTAAAACTTTTAACTAGCCATCTACTGACCTTCACACGGCATTTCATTATTCTTAATTGTGCTACATCCCGCTGTTCATTGAATAAAAGAGAGAAAATTATCAGGCTATGAAAGGTTATTTAGAATGATATAAGACTTCTCAACTCTAGTTATATCTATAATGCAGTAGTCTAATTGAACAAATTAAGGCATACATGATATATGATCTAAATAAAGGGCATGCGGCCTGTATATGAGGCAAACTCATTACAAGCCATAATGTGATTATAGACAGGCCTCACACTTCAAAATTTTGATCCCCTAGCTTCAATTCTTTTTTTCCTGTTTTCTAATCTCTTATAAATACGTAGTTCAGATAGAACATCTTGACCCTTTATTATGTTTTTGACTTTTCCTAAAACCTTTCTGATCCAATTCCTATCACTTCATTTCATAATCTTCAGCCACGATCAAAATACACCTCAGCCTCCTACAGAGGAGCAAGAACTTGTAAAACCCTTAGACCCTGTGGTGTTCTCATCACCCTCCTCTGCCCTAGATCTCACAAGTCGGACAAGAGAGGAGTGCAATCATAATACTAATAAGCATTTGAAATACAACCTGAAGAAAATAATTTTTTTCCCACTCTAATACTTCCCTTCAGCAAGTTTATACCAAAACATATGTGTCCACGTAGTCCAATCCTACATGGTTGCTGATTAGTTCCTCTACATGGGGTAAACACACTTTCATATCAATTCGAGTAATTGACTTATCAAACATAAACCTCCAGATTAAACTTTGCTTTCCAAAGATTTGCACAAAGAAGATTTGCCCTGGATGCTGAAACGCACAAAAACTAGGAAACTTTTGAAAAGATCCTGAAAATTTCTAATTCAAATAATTTACTTTGGTTGACTTCGTAAAATCTATAACAAAGACAGTAATAATACAGCATCAGTTAAGCAAAAGGAAATCAGTGCAATTGAAACACTATTATCTTGTAAGCAATGATAAAAGTGAACTTAGTGGTTAATGCAAGAGAAATCACCCCGTCCTATTCTTGTAATAGATATATTAACTTAACTGCAATCATTCGCAATTCGAAGAGGCGAGGTCTCTCGGGATTCAACATGTCACGAAACAGTCTCTTGAAGTATAATGGAATGGCAAGCATTTTCTGTATTATGCAGAGGAAGATAAAAAATCAAAGGTCCAGGAAAGTATTGATAATGTTAATGACATGCCCTTACAAGTGTATGAAAATCAATGAGTATAACAATTCAAATGAACACTGCTGATTAGAAACCGAGATGCTTTAAGTCATTGATCCCAAAAAACTTGCAACAAATAATAAATGAAACTTTCTAGTTTTCTCTTTTGAAGACAAATTTCTAGTTACTTTTTTGCAATATAGATAGTTTTACACAACAAAAACACCGTGGTTATCCAACAATGACTGTGTGTGTGTGTACTTTATGTAAAAAATAAATTAGGTGGAATATTTTTTTTAACATATTAGCCTGACTTAAAATATATTTTTAGTCTGGTCCTAGATCCACCCCTGATTTTTGACACGGCATCTTAACAACTTGTAATTGTTAACTGTCGTATATAGTGAAGTTTACAACAGCACAACATTCATCTCTGAGCACGCCAATTCCTGGATCTTTTCATGGTAGCCATAATATCTACTTGGGGACAAAAATAAGTAAAATATTTTGGCTTTATTTGTTGTCAACTTTTCCTCAGTATGAAGTAAGCTTTTATTGAGTTGTGGTCATCAATCAACAATCAACTTTCTAATTTCATTTCCTCTGATACTCCTAAATATTACGTAACATGAATCCTACTCCCATATAAAATGGTCATTATACATCATATGCATTTGATTCTCAGATTGAGATAGCGATCATCAACAATGACAGCTATTTATTCACTTTATAAAATTTGTCCATAACTAAAGTTAACTCCTGTGTGCTCCATTCTGATGTAATGGAAGCAACATATTATGGAAAAAGAAACCCTGGAAAAATGCTTGAGTTTTATTTAAAATCTTCACAAAACTTGAAGCAATATATTATAGAATTGTGATCAAAATTCCCATCCAATTCAATTTATTATTTCATCTGAATATTTATTCAAAAAGGTCTAACTAGCATCTCCACTATTTAAGGATATGCATATGTTTTCAAGTATCATGTCTATATAGATATATCAACCTACCAGCAGTAATCCAGAAACGCCTCCCACAAACAGACGGTTGTAATTATTAACATTCTTTAAAACTTGAGAAACTTCGGTTTCGTGCTGACAGTACAAGGATGCTTCAGGTGTCAATTTAGTTATGTGCTGAGAGCACATTGGACACTTGCAAGGCCGCAATGCAGCACTGAAGTTCCAATACTGCAAAATACAACCTCCTACAAGAGATAAATGCCAAATGGTGAGACACAATTAAAACTGAATTTTAAACAAGAGCAAGAAAGGAAGAGAGATCAGAAAGCAGCATTAATGAGAAATGTTTTAATCCATTTTTTTTCCCTAACTAGACATAAAGAACAGGTAACAATCTTATACATTCAGAGCACACTGGAAGAATGTGACTTTAGAAGTCTATATGTGTAAGAGTGACGGAACTGGTCACATTCACTTTTTCTCAACAAAGGTGATTGTGGATTAAAATCAAACAAGATTCTTGCAAGTACAAATACAAAATAGAAGATCCAAGAGTAACCAATCACTAATCGAAACATAAAATATAATCAAATCATCAAAATCTATTTTACCAGAATCTCTCAGTGCATAACCATGGATCATGGGCGAGTCATAGCAGAATTATTTTTGCCAGCGTTGATAAGATATTGGGCATCAAGGTGTGTTCAACAGGTCCCCATGCTTAGTAGCAAATAATGATAGCGTCACAGCAGCTTTCGACATTATTAATAATGGAGAGTAATAACATACTCCTCTTTTCATTTTAAAACTAGAAGACAAATCCACATAAGTATTTGTTCATTTTTACCTCAAAAAACTGATTACAAGAAGGATTACTCGTCTCAAGGACACAACAAAGAATTTCACCAGCAAAATTTCAAAGTCAAATCTGCGACTTCCTTCGGAATGTTTCGGAGTCAAATTTTTACATATTTATGAATCTCCAAATACACAAATGAAATCAATGTCCAATTTAACAGTTATGCCTTTAAACAACGAGAGTTTATCTAACCAAAAAACGAAAAACGATATCTAAAGAACAGATTACTAATTAACAACAAATGAAACAAATAAACAGCCAGCCTTACATACCACAGTACCAATGGCCACAAGGAGCACGGCAGGGAACATTAAAGTTCCCGAAACAGATAGGGCAGACATCGTCCGTTGGTGGAGTCTCCATATTTGACCCCTTTCTCTCTGCAACCACAAGGCTTGTACTAGACGGTGCCGTTTCGGGAGGCGATAACGAAGTATCAGCATCTTCAGTTGTTGTTCTCTCACTAGACGACGCCGTTTCCTCGTTGCTAGTAGTTTCTTCTTCATTATCTTCATGTATTTCTCCTCCATTCGTATCGGCCATAGGCGGAGAATCCAAGTTGGGCTTTAGGGTTTGTAGATGATTTTTGGGGAAGAAACGAGACAAGGATTCCATCTTGATTTGGATTTTAACTGAGAATTGTTGGTGAAATTGAATAATGAATGGCTGAATTGGCGTGCTCTGCTATGTAAAGATGACAGGGTACGGATCATGTTTGAGCAAATACGGGGAAATTTACTTTCAGTTTGACTTTACTTGTTAAAATTGCACTCTTGGTCCTTAAGTTATAGCTTTTGTAGTTTTTATACAATCAACTTTAGCAATAATCCGAAGGGTAATTGGCTCAAAGCATTCTTACATTTCAATATTATTATATAAAATGTTATTACTTTTATTTTGTTAACATTTTTGCCCTTATTTTCATCTTTCATTGCAAAAAAGGTCATTTTCATCGAAATGCCCTCCCATTTAAATAAAACAAAAGAAAAGGAAAATTTAAGAACAAATTATAATTATACTCCCAAACTTTTTAAAAAGTTATAAATGAATCCAAAATTAGCACAAAACGTTTCTACCTTTCAATATTATTGTACAAAACATCCCTACTTTTTATTTTTTAACATGCTCACACTTATTTTTCACAATATATTTTGAAAATCTTCATTTTCCCAATTAAAGGTATAAGATAAATATACCCTCATATTTAATTAAAACAAAATAAAGAACAAATTACAACTATCAAAAAAAAAATACAAATAAATTAATTTCAAATAAATAATAAAAAAAGAAAGTGATTTTTTTTAAAAAAATAATTATTTATTTGTATTTTAAAAAAAAAATTGGAAGTATTGTTACAATTTGTTCTCTATTTTTCTTTTCTTTATTTTTTTAATTTAAATATGAGTAAATATTCCTCACTTTACAACTTTTTTTAATTGAAAAATGGATGAAAATAATGATTTTTCGCAATTAAATATGAAAAAAATGGTGAAAATGCCAAAAAAAAAAGGAAAGATATGGACATTTTGCATAATAATATTGAAAGATAATGACGATTAGTGCTAATTACCATTTTAATAATTTATTTGGACTAATTTATAATTTTTTTAAAAGTTTAGGAGTAAAATTGCAATTTTTTCTTTAAATTTTCGTTTCTTTTTTTTATTTAAATAGGAGTGCATATTTGTCATTTTATATTTTTTATTGAGAAATTAGATGAAAATGACATTTTTCGCAATAAAAGAAGAAAATGCCAAAAAATAAAAAATAAGGATATTTTGCATAATAATATTGAAAAATAAGGATGTTTTGTGCTAATTTTACATAATCCGAACATTAGGCAAAATACAAATATAAAAATTATTATTGCAATCAAATTTCGATTTTGAGTTCAAAATGTGGGGAAGAATGACAAGTGGGAACTATGGAAGTGGAGGGAGCTAGTGTTAGCAGGGCAGCCCAAAATTTTTTTGCTCCTTGACTTTGATCTTGGCAATAGCGATGGTGGAGGGTAATTTCTTGAAGTGTGTTAATCAAATAGATTTATTAGTGAATAATGATATTAAAATTCATTGATATTTTGCATCTATCTATGTGATAGTGTGATTATTGTTACATTATCAAATAAAATGTATAATGTATTCATGCATTGGATAATGTGAGCTGAAATTCATCGTTACATAGATTGATGTGAAGCACCAGTGTGACTATCTTTGTGACATCAATCTTGATCCACGTTCATTTTTGTTGTGTGCTTTGATTTGATGATGGTGGGCTGTTTATCTTTTATCATGTTCATCTAACTAAAATATGGATAAAATAATGTTTTTAATAAAAATTGATTTGTGCGATTATAATAAATAGAACCTATCATTGAAGATAAACACCACATGAAACTCAAAAGTTGGTGACCACGTTACTAGAAAAGTGAGAGAGGGGTGGGGGGTGACGGGGGAGGTTGTTAAAGCCGTCTCCAACGCTGCACCAAAATTTAAATATTTTGCACCAAATCTCTCAACAAACTAAAATTCATCTCCAACCATTACACTAAAATTTACACCAAATAAATAGTGTTTTATTATTTTGTTCATTCTTTCAATTTTTGACGACGTATTTATTTTAAAAAATTATTTATTTATTTATTTTATAACTATATAAATTACTAAATTATAAGTGCGTTAAATAAAAAAAATATTGAATTATTATTGATTACTAAATTATTCAGTTTTTTATATATTATATTAAATTGACGAAAATAATTGATTACGTTATTAATTTATAATAAACAATTACATTAAATTTACAAAAATAATTACTAAATTAAAAAATCCTTAATTATTATTGATTATATTATTAAAAATAATACAATTTAATAATATAATTAATAATGTAATTAAATAATAATAATAATTATTATTATTATTATTATTATTATTATTATTGTTGTTGTTGTTGTTGTTGTTGTTACTATAGAACGAAAATGACACAAATACTCTTAACTATTATATTTGAAAAATAAAAAGAGAAGGGCAAAATAGACATTGTACCATTTGGCTCAAAAAATGGTGCAACGATTGGAAGGACATTTGCATCAAATTTTGGTGCAATTTGATGCAAAATGGTGCCACCCTCAAGGATTGTCTTGCTAAAAAGACTAGAATGTCAACAAGTATTACAATTTTTCCCTTTTTGTAATATATATTTATGTCATAACATGTTATAACCTTACCAAGCCTTGTCCAAGGGTAGTCATATTGCCATCAAAATAAAATTGGTTACACCTTATTTTCATATGTTATTTTATTTACTTATTAAATTGAAATATAAATAATTATTTAATTATCTCTTTAATTCTTATGTACAATCCAAGCCTATCATCAACATTAAATTTTTTTATCTACTCTTTATGTTCCATTTATGAATTATGCTTTTACATGTATTAGGATGTTAATTAAGCCTTCTAATTTAACGAGAAATCAAAAATTAATCTTTTCAAATATCAATTATAAAACAATCAAAGAGCAGAACATTACCACTATTCTGTAGGTTAACTAAACTACAAGTTCGAAAGCAGCAAATTTTATAGAAATGATAGATAAAATGCAAAAAATGAAATTTTTTTTTTCATTTTTTTATCTTCAATAGTGGATTTTTTTATTTTTTTTATGGCCTCCAAATACAATACATACTTATTTTTTTTACTCACTTTCAACTATGTGAAGTGAATTCCATCAATGTAATTTTAGAAAAATGTAAGTGTGCATTCGGAGAAGATAGAGAAGTAGAGGATTATCATTTATTTTTTTTTAATATACAAGGACTATATTTGTAAATAACTGTAGTATATTTATCAAAAGTAGTTTTTACGATAATTATATTTGTACAATTATTTTTGTTAGTTATTCCACATTTTAATTGCACTTAAGATTATCAAAATTTGCTCATTATAACACTTAGGGTGTTTTTTATTACATTTATTTTTCATGGAAAATATCAGTTTTCCTTCCAAATTTCTACTTGGAGTGTTTGATTGCTATTTTTTTCCATGGAAAACATTTTCCAACTTTTGAAAATATGCCTAATTTTCCTTGTTTTTAAGGAAAATATTTTCCTTGAGTAGAGGTAGTTTTTATTTTCCACAAAAGATGAAAAATATTTTCTTTTCTAGGTAATATTTTCCATGTCAATCAAACACACTCTTATTTGTTTCGACTCATTTTCATCTTCAATCTTCCATGATTTAGCACTCGAATATAATAATGGTTTCCTTAAAGAAAAGTTCCATTCTAATCATATTTTTTAGAATATAACAAATGCAAACAGCAAATATATGATAAAATATTTTTCTTCAGATTAAAGCACACAATTTTATTTATTTTTACATAAACCATTATCAAAGACAATATTTGTTAATATATATAAAAAAAGGCTAAATATATTCACGTTACAATTGTTAATAATTAAACTATATCTTATAATACATAAAAGATTCATAACCTCTACAAATTATCATATCTATGTATCAAACTTTTTTCATCGCATTCTTATTCTCAAATTAAGTTTCTCTCTAAATTTTTCTACAAAATCGAGTACAAAGACTTATTTGTCTATTGTATTTTTGAATAAGCAAAACAAATAATACTGTGAAATAGCAAATAAATATTTACCCCCATTTTAAAGCACGTTAACAATATTTTTTGGAAAATTATGATAAGGACAAAAAATTTTGATTAATAAAATATTAAAAATAAGATTACAATGAAGAAAAAATTAAGGATGTAAGTGTTATAATGAATAAAGGTTAACGTATGTATAAAAATTTGGTTTGAATGATGGATATAGACATATTTGAAATGGCCTTACTTTGTCAATATTCCGAATAATGCTCTTTATTCGAAGGGCTGAGATTACACCCCCCTCACATAGAGGGGGCCCACATGTAATAAAATATTCGTGTGCCCCCTCCATGTGAAGGGAGTGTAAAGCTGTGTGTATACCACAAGGTGTACACACAGCATTTTCCTTATTCGAATTTGGAATTTGTCTTGAAAATGAAATTCTCTACTGTCTGAAAAATTCAGTCAAACAATATAATATAAACTAATAAAAGGCCAAAGGTTTTACAGTAATAGTGAGGCCATTTATGGTCACACCCAATAGAAAGACTCTTCGTACCTGACAAAATAACTAGCAAATAAAGCAATTAATAATAGAGAAAATTACGTTTCAATTTCAAATATCAAATTTTCATAATTTTGTTTTCAATAATCAAGTCTTAATTAGACTACAGTTATCCTTCCCCATCCCAACCCCGTACGCCGCCTCCACCAAACCTCTCTTGCTATATAATTGCAAGAAGAATAAAGCTACAGAGTTCCAATCCTGCCACCTCAGCCCCTAATTTTGAATGGGGCAAGCCCCATCAATTATAGATCAAGGCCTGAGGTGATTGCCATCTCGGCCCTGGAGCCAATCCCAGGTTTTAAACCTAGGATCTGAAGCATCTCTCTTGCAAGAAACTTGCTGAAAATTCTCTGTCACACTTCAAACGTAAAACATCTCTATCTCATATCATTTACTAATCAAACTCTCTCTATTATTTGCCTC